TAATCGTGTTGAGAAATAACGTGTTTTATTAAGCTTTGTACAGAACACTTATAGAGATTTGATTGAGTACTGACGTCGGCCCTCATTAACATCAATTAAACAGAAGAACAAATCGTCATCGGGAGGATTCATTAACTTTATCTCTTCTTAAACTTCAAGTTTTATATTCTTTCCTCTCAAGTGAATTTAAAATGCCTCTAATGTTAAGAAATGAGCTTAGCCTTTTCGAAAAACTAGCAATTTAATCCCAGAGTCAGTCGGAAAATTCCTTCTTTCACATCTCATTTTAACAGTCGGCCAATAATTCTTGTGGCACAGCGATTTCTGCTTCGTTGCCGCTTGTAAAATTAACCACGCGCACATACAAAATTTCAATTAAAAATTTCACGAATCAGCAGAAAGAGTAAGCTTGAACTTCGACTTCCATATGCGCATCCACACAGCACCCACTTGCACTACGTCAGCCCACGCGTATACGCAAAATACTTCTTCCCACAGTCCCACAGCCGATTGCAATTGCATTAATATCTTTGCAATTAGCTGCCACTGCAGCTTCTGCGATATCGGCTTCACATTTTCCCACAAAACTTCAGAGCAATGTCTGTTCACCCAGCCATATATACACCCAAATACAGACCCACCTCCACTCGGCTATCCACACTTACCTAGCTGCTGTTCCATCCGCTGTTGCTGCTGTCGCGATTTTTTCAGTGTGCCAAAACGTTGTGGCGGCTGTGGCGGTGACTGCCGCTGTAGCTGATGCTGCTGCTGTTGCTGTTGCTCGTACTGTTCTTGCAACTGTTGCAGCTCATCCGCGTACTCTTGTCGCCGGCTACTTTCCCCAATGACGGCTTGGCTGACAACGCTCAAATTGTTGCTGGCTGGCGCACCCATACTGTGGCTGCTGATATTTGAAAAATTGTGTGGGCTACCGCAATTCCCAGGCGTAGACGTTGCCACCGTCGTTGATGAAGACGCCGCCGCCACCGCCGCCGCTGCCGCTGTGGCGGATGCTTGCGTTATGTGCGGTGGCGGTGGCACCGGATATCCGACATAGTCAACGACGCATTGCGTCAGCGGATCCAGACAAGTGCCATACGTCACCGAGCCGGGCGTTTGTTCAATGTAGATTTGGCCAGAAGCCGCCGCCGCCGCCGAGGAGTGTTGCTGTGAGGCAGCCATTTTCACACGCCACAGCGTATCTTGCGCGCTGGCTAGACTGCTGCAGATGCTGTTCGAGTTGGTGGAGTAATTATTCTCGGCTGATGGATAGTGCAAGCCAGAAGACCCTGAAAGCGGTGCACGGTGCGCGGAGAAGAGATGAGGAAAAGAGAAAAAAAAAAACGAAAGTAAAGTTAATTATATTCTGAAGTGAATAGTAGCTTGGTTGGCAATGGGAGTAAAGGCAAAGATTGGTGAGCGAAAATCGGCAGTGGTTGCGGTTGGTGCAAATTTAAAGTGATTTAAATGAAAGTGTGTGGTAGTTATATAGAAGAAGGTGGTGCAATTATTCCTTTAAGGTGAGATAGAAAATGCTAGAAAATAAAGTGCGAATTAAAATTATGTACATCCTTTAAAAGTTGTATTATAGGACGATAGGACGCCGAGTGATGTTTCTTTTTGTTTTGAATTCATGCCCTTATGTATACATTTTACTATTCCGATTTTTTCTTCTATTTCTGCCATTAACCTTCATGTGCTCGGTAGTCTACATTTGTAGCATTTTTACAAAAAAACCTGAATAAATAAAAAATTTCGCAGCAACGGTATCCGAGGTTTGAGCAAGGAAATTCCTCCCAAACTGTCAGCTGTCTCCAGAGGACTTTTTCCGTTGGTATAGAAGCCGGGAGGATCGCCATAACATTTAATAGGTTCGGCCACAGAGGCATGGAACGCGCTCAAAGGAGACAGTTGAAGAGCTTCTCTGCGTCAGAGTGCGAGCCTTACAAGAATGAGGCTTAAGATACTTGGCTAATCATTCTTGCTTTCTGTTCAATGTAGATCCATCAAGTGATTTTGAGCATGCACGAGTTTGTAGTTTCAAGATGGCTAAAATTTCGGAGTGCCAACTAACCAAGACTATTTCACTGATTTTGAAAAATACGTAGACTGCCTTTGTTGTCAAAAAATTGTAATTTGGCAGGCCCCTCGGTACCGAAAATCAAGTTTAACATCCCATACAACCGCATAGTCTTACAATACTCAAAAAGAATCGACAAGCATGCAAAAATTCGCCACATTTAGAAATTTAAAAACTCAAATTACAGTGAAAACTCTGACAGACGGACGCTCTAATAAGCTGACATCTCCTATAAGCGGACACATTCTTGGGAACGAACAATTTTTGGTTTTTTCCATATAAAATGCTCATCCATAAACGGACGCAGACACTCAAAAATGTCCAGTCATGGAAAAAAATCTCCCACCGCGCGAAGCTCTAACAAGCGGTCAATTTTGTTTTTTTTTTCAGTCAGATGTTGACTCTTGCGCTTCCACATAGGCATATGTACACAAGAACATAGTTCATATTCAACGATTTTTTTTTTATAGAAAAAGTGTTGTCTTTTCGTTGCCCTCTTCTTGCTGCTTGAGCGAACCTGGTGATTTGTCGGTAGGAAAGAAAATGCCGTAAATTTGATTTTATCCTTAATTCATCCTGTTTATGTCTATTGAAGAATAAATATCCGCTATTTAAATTTTTTATATTTGAGTTTTAATTTTATTTTTAACGAAATTCCCATAAGCGGACATCTCTCATAGGCGTACAAAATGCGGGCGACTATCGGTGTCCGCTTATGGGAGCTTTCACTGTATTTGTTTTATGTACATTTTCAAGTATATATTTACTGGTATGTACATATGAAAATTGGCTAAAAAATAACATACATAAAGTCTTGGTGCACAGATGAACAGGAAGAAGAAGA